CTGAGATGGTTCTGAAATTCAGGTGGGATAGACTCAAAGTCATATTTGGTTGCCTTGGATTTGGTTTAATTTTCCTCAGCTTCAGCTTGAATTTGCAGATGAGTAGATTACCAATTACATGTATCAACAAAGAGTTGCAGCCCTAGACATGATCATCAAAATATGCCAAGAAATTTGGAGAACAGCTTCCTGGCCAACCAGTTGGAAGACATCCCTCTTTGTTTCCCTTCCCAAAACAGATGGCCCAACAGAATGTGGAAATTGCAGAACAATATTAATAATATCACATGCAACTAAAATCTTGTTGAAGATAATTTTGAAATTACTAGAACAGTGTACTGACAGAGAACTTCCAGAAATTCAGGCTGGATTTAGGAGAAGCTGCAGCATGAAGGATGTCATTGTTGATGTCAGATGGGCCTTAGCCAAAGGCAGAGAATAACAGAAGGCTGTCGGTTTGTGTTTTATTCACTGTGCAAAGGGTTTTTATAGTATGGATCATAACAAATTATGTCTGACATTGAGAATAATGGGAATGCCAGGACTTAATTGTGCTGTTGAGAAACCTGTATCTAGAACAATAAGATGTTGTAGAGAGAGAGCTTGTAACTCCTTCTCTATCTTGTGCCAACTTTATTGTCTCTGACACACTTACCCTCATTGCCCCAGTCACTGAAACAATCCATCTCATCGAGGGTCTTCCTCTCTTGCACTGTCCCGCCACCCTTCAAAGCATGATGTTCCTCTTCAAGGACTGGTCCGTCCTTGCAACATGCCCTAAGTATGCCAGACGAAGCCTCAGAATCTTTGCCTCCAAGGAGCAGCCTGGTTTTACCCTCTCCAGGATGCACCTGTTTGTTCTCCTGGCACTCCATGGTATATTCACTGCATGGTTTAAAATCAGGAAAAGTGTACATCAGGACTGTATCCTTTCTTCATACTTATTCAGATTTTACATAAACAGATTATTTGAGAAGCTGGATTATATGTGTAAGAATATGGCATCAAGATTGGAGGAAGACTCATCTCTAAATTATGACTCCTAATAATGCCAGTATTGCTTTAGTAAGATGTGAATGGATATTTTGATACAAGTTCTGAAGTAAAAGAGAATGAGTAAGAAAATTTTGTCCGACAATTGTTTCAGAAGGTTCTCTTTCAATATTGTTTCTTGACCAAATGTAGTGAAAACTATATTTCAGTGTAGGCAATTTCTGGGTTTGTAAATATATGCCAATGATGCTTATAGGATAATGTTTGCAGTTTTATAATCTTGAACTAATTTATCTTCTCTACTTACGAAAACTCAGAATATTTCTCCAGTTCAATAGCTAGTGTATACTTAGCGAATTCAATAATGTCTTAAAGAGAAATGTGATTATGAAGACAAATCTGTTTGCGCATGATTGTATAGTATATTTTGAAACGAAATATAAATGGCTTTGGATTGTCTATACTTTTTCTTTCCCATTAGCCTGAAGAATTATCCTTCAGATCAGCAATTCCATCCAATTTATTGTTGATGGCAGTTTCTCCCCCTAATTTTGTGAATTTGCATATTAACATTATTAATCTAAAATTACTTTGGTTTGAACCTGGATAATTCTTAAATCAGTGATTTTTAGAACATTTCCTAAATTTGATGTGTTTTCATTTCTTAATGTTTTATCTAACAGCAATTGAAGTTTATGCATACCCCACATCAATTCCTGCTTCTCAGCAGTCCACCAGCCAAAGAATCCAACTTTAGAGCTGCTAAAAAACTCTTTGGAAGCACTTTTGCATTTCAGTGAGTATGACTTCGTATCACTTCTCTGGAAATGTGTAAGGAGTAGCTAACAACTAGTGCCTAATAGCGAGCAGCATAATTCTTGGAGACTTCTGTTTTCCAAAGCATCTTGACTTCTATGTGTTATACTGTGACCCGTAAAAGATCACTGATTCGTGATTTTCCATATTTTTTTTAGTGGCTCACACATAGAAAACTGGCACTCCATCCTGAGGAATGGTTTAGTTGTTGCTTCTAATACAAGACTGCAGGTACGTTTTCTGAATGCCTGAATAAGATTTCATTATTCTTCAGCACTGAGTTTAATAAGTTAGCAGTCCTGGTTTTATGCTTCTGTTCCCGCAAGGGCAAGTATATGGTGTTTAAAACACTACCTGTAATATCTAACAAGTATAGATAAATACAGAACAACAAGCATAATTGTTTTAAGCACAATCTAGGAATGAAGTGGAAACAAAGTAAATTCAATTAATTAACAATCTCTCTGCTAGAAGATAAGATCACATTTAACTATAAGAAAAAGTAATGTCGGACACAAAGTAAAATTGCATAAGCATTCTATTTAGCAAATCAGTACATTTATTGAGTAAATTGTACCTTAGTGTGTATACTCTTATAGTTGAAAGGATAGGGCTAAGAAGAAGCAAAGTAGAGATTAGAAGCCAAGAGCATGTGATGCCTTCTGTTCAGGCTCAAGGGAGCGCTGGTGTTAGCAGGTTAACGTAAGTGTAGATCTCCTTTTTTTTTACATAGGCCTGCATATTTCCATGACCAAATAAAGATATTAAGATGATAAATTAAATATACATTTACTGGATAAGCATTCAGTTCATGGTAATAATGAAGAGAATTCTCGAACATAGAAATCAAGAAATTAAATTGTTTCCGAGTTTGTTTTAAATGAACCAGAGAGTTTCAATTAGTGAAGCACTCTATAATTTGGAAAGTTTAAAAGAGGGTGAAGAGTGTTGTATAATGAAAATCTGAGTAGGGAACTTTGTTTCTAGGCCACCATGTGGGCCTTGATCAGAATGTCTTCAGAGGCATTTCAATCTTCATCTGAAATGATGGTTTGTTTTCAGATTTTTTAAGTCATTAAAAGTCAGCAGCGGTACTTTATAATAAATGATTCTGTCTGTAGTAATTTAGAAATCTTTCATCATTAATTTTTTCCCTCTCACTGTCATTTTTCATATATAAACTCAGTCTGAATTTTGAGCACAAGAATATTAGTAGTATTTCCAAATGAGACCTTGGGAGAAGAGCTCCATCAGCTTCTAATACTTATGTTCCAACACGAGACTGATTACCTGCTTTTGTAAAATATTAGCTTTTGAGACGAATGACGAACCTGTCTCCTTCCTCTTCCCATTTTAGCTCCATGGTGCAATGTATGGAAGTGGAATCTATCTTAGTCCAATGTCAAGCATATCATTTGGTTACTCAGGTAATCATATATTCATTTCTTATCTCAAATTTATTTTGTCTTAATTTGTTGTTGTTTGTGGACGATCTATCAACAATCTGCATTATGCAGATGACACAACCCTGCTCGCTGAAACTGAGGAGGACCTCATGCACTTACTGCGGAGGGTCAAGGACTGCAGCCTTCAGTATGGACTGAAGCTCAATGTCAAGAAGACAAAGATTCTCACCACTGGACCAATTGGTAGCATCAGGATGGATGGCGAAGAGATTGAGATTGTTCACAGCTTCAGTTTG